GCATAAATCATTGTACCGTTGAAAAATTAAAGAAAAGAGCATGCAAGTACGCCACAAATGTTTACATCTCGAGATTAAATGTTATTAGAGAGGGCGTGACGATTGAATACATCGCGATAGCGATCGCTTGCGATGGGGACTTACAAACTTGAGCCTGCGAAATCCATCTTCCGTTCGTCAATGCCTACATCGAAGCTTTTCTACTTGCCTACTTGAAGAAGCAGTTTTCACTATCGTGACGTAGTCGATTGACGATCTCGCACTTCCGTCGAGGAGGAGCCATGAACGCGAGGATCTTTCATCCGCAGGACCATCAATAACGCGCAACGGGTCCTGAGAGCTATAGGTGCTATGTGATGACTCCACCCAGTTTCCACGCTTCACTGCTCCCGCCTAACAAGGCAGGTTCAAGTGCCCATTGTCGGGTTATGAATACGGGAAACATGTTCGATCCCTACCTTGTTGCACACTCGGCGAGAGCAGTTACAAAATTATGATATATCGCACGTCACGCTGACGTTTGCGACGAGTCGCGCATATGAAAGCGCGATGCGGACTCGCGGCCGGACCCGAAAACTTCGTAACAGAACTGTCCCCTTTTCCCATTTTTTACTTATCCGTCAAACCCTGATTTTGCCAAATTGAGCGACAGTGAGCGATGAGAAAAAAACCGCCTGTACGCATTAAAGCAGCGCAACTCATGCGAAAGAGTCTATTTACTTTTACGTTGAAAATTTTGTTCTTTACCTTTGCTGTTTAATTAAAAAATTTGTGCAAACCGTAAACTTTCTGCAATAATCAAAAATTGTATTGACGTTCAATGTTTGCAAAACATATCGGTTTTAATTACGATCATACGAATAAATATTTACGTAAAATTGTATGTATAGGAAAAATGTTAAAGAATCATTAGTTTAGATAATGCAGTATATACAGATTACTGCATACCTTTTGCAAAGTAAAAATACAAAAGTTTTCTTTAATTTGTCTAACTGTCTAACTGTCTTCCAGCGCGTTTTACGATTGCGTGCTATCGTTCCCCGCTTATCGCCGCCAGGTTGTGTAACATTTGACAATCGATTTGAGCAAGTATTGCCGGCTTTACGAGTATAATCGCCATTGGAAATGCATGTTGCGCCGAATCCAAAAGCCGTTCGGTACGTATAAATTGTTACAGCGCGCAGCACGAAGGAAATCGTCACAATGAATTCGCCGCGTAATGCCAAAAATAGCATATCATGCATTTGTTAAAGCGGTTTCAGCCGGAAAATAAATGCAACCGCCGACTGCGACTCCGAAGCGCACATTACATTCAAGTATAATGATGGTAAAGTTATTAGCTTCGAAGGAGCAATGAATATGCAATGGTTCGCGATGAATTGGCAGATTCTCTTTAATGACTCGACGATGATGTCATATTAATTTCAGGTATCGCATAACAGTACACGCTTTGTACAATGGTGTGCGATATTTTAATTAACTTGAAGATATTATGCACTCGATGCAACTTATATTAATTTAATAGTTCATCGGAATAAAATCAAATCGCGGAAATAAAATCAAATTGCAAAACCTACACGAGAATCAGTTGTATTGATTCAACGGATCCGTCTTTTTGATGAATCCTCTCGAATGGAAGGGTCCGCGCAATGCATTTTAATTGGAATAGCACCGTTATGATAATTATTAGCACCCTACACCAAACGCATTTGTACCGTAACTTCTACTCAACCAACAATCGTTGTCGGCCGGATCACCCTCTTTCTGCATTCCAGATGCTTTGGTCCCTGCGTTGTTTGCGCAACTTGCATCCACTACCCTCTGTCCCTTTGCCATCTAATTTAATAAACGTCCCCGCGCACAGAAGAAAACGGAGGGGTTGCGGTTCGTCGTTGAAAGAACGGCGATTCGCTTCTGACGCACGGCTCATCGTCTCTTTTTTCAGTTGTCGCGCTTGTCGTCTCCGGAATGTTCAATTTGTACATACTTTGAACTTAATGTCGCCTACTAACGTCCCCCATCACAATGACAATGCCTGAACGGTATCGAATGACGTAACAATGCGGAATTTAATGATGCGTTCAGTTGAATTAGTTAGTTCTTACTCACGACAAACATTTCGCGATTAATTGCACTACAAATTATATCGTATATTCATTATTTGTTATTTGTTTTATCCAATCTAATAAAATTTAATAAATTGTTAGAGAATACCAAAGGAGTTAAAGTGAGACCGATGTAGTGGAATTTTCAATCTTTGTGCGATAATATTTCTGGATGACATTTCTTACAAATACATTATACATTAAAAATTACATTAAAAATATAAGCAAGGAAAAATCATATTTTTAATACAAAGTATATTTAATATGCATTGATATTAAAATATAATATGCCATTATTGTAGTAATTGTTGTCGTAGTAAAATAAAAATTATTTCATCATTTTGACTGCCATTTCCATAAAATTGTTTACGTAATCCTCTTTCATACAGCAGTCGTTAATTATACATGGGTCATGTATCATATTTCGCCAGTTATTTGCGTAATCAATGTAAGTACACAAGCAAAAGTTGTACCGATGGCGAGCTGAAAAATACACATTTTATTCCCAACTGTTGGCCAATATCTTATCGTTAGAAAGTTCGCGCGACTAACACAGGGTTACGTATTTCAATTTCTCGACCGAGGAGAGAGAAGAGAAAGAACGACTCGCGATAAAACTCTCGATGGGGGACGGCGGCACACGCTGTCAGGTGCATAAAATATCTGCATTATTCGCTCAGCTCGACGTACATTATTATCTTTCTAGACTTTTATCGGCGATTACGATCCCCTGACTCTATTATCACCATTAAGCACCCTCTTTTTAGATTACCAGATACTCGAGCTTTTTACAATTTCCTTAATTTCCTCCAAGCTTTGCAAAAATTGCAAGCAATTAATTTTTTTATCACAGTCGCACATTCGAGTATCTAAGCATTTTCTAATTATTATCCCGCTTTTAATTATTTTTGATAATTAATGCTTTTCTTGTAATTTATTATTAATTTTCTTTTATCAATAGAACTGTATTAGACATTTTTAATGTTTAAATATTTACATTATAAATATTTTGTTTTAAATTTGCTTATACTATAAATGATTTAACTCAAGTGTAATGTTACATAGCTATTTTACAAGCCATTTAGCTTATTAAGGAAACCGTGACCCAGATGGTTAAAAGTCATAGCTTTGCTAGCACTTTATCAAAGACTTTAGCCAATAGAGCACTTTCATAGTAGTACTAGCAAAAAGACTCATGGAGGAGCTGCGCTCTCGGTCGCCCGTGAAGCTTAAGAAACTCTGACAAATAAAGATTTATGACTGGGAAAGCTGGTTGATCTTAGAGCGAAGAATGGCGAAAAGTAAGAAATATAAGTTCAAATATTAAAAAATATTAAAGTGCCGTAATTAGTTTTCTCTGTTGTTTCTTACTTTTTCCATTTTGCGAGCAAGCGTGTAAATAGCAATTAATTGTATAATTCAAGCAAATTCGAGACCTTTAAATCTTACAATATTATTTCAACTTAGCGTAATAAAATATTGTATTATAATTACATTTCTCATATAATGAAATGACGTTAATTGAAACGAAGTATCGAAAGTACTTGAAACATTTCTAATAGGAAACTCGATAGCGAATCTCAGAAAAAAGATATTGAAACCACGTATGCTCCTCCCTTCCTCTCGATAAACGTATAATCAAAATATATATTTATAGCTCATATTTTAATGAGCTTTTTGACAAGCTGTTTTTTCTCACTGCTATCTTTCACTGCTTGTTTATCGTATGTACCGTTTATGTAGGAAAAATACACGAGTCAAGGGAAACATCATCCGTTTTTTCTCACGAGGACCTCCGGCACGAAAAGGGCGCACGTGTATTGCGGTGCACGTAAATTACCGTTTACCTCCGTTCTCAGTTTTATTATCAGAAATGATGCATGTAGGAGTACAGAGTAGGCAGGGTTATCGTTAAACGCCACGTTTTTCTTCTGATAAGATTCGATCGACGCATAACGGAGCCTTAGTTCCTGAGAAGAGTAGGCAAGTCCTTTGATATAGCTCGGAAGCTGTAGGGTAACATCCGATATATTCTCACTCTTGACATTTTTCACACGCGTGTTTTCACACTCGAGCGAGGAAAGCATTAATAAGCTCTGTTATTAACGTCGCATAAACTTTACTTTAATAGAGTTCTAAATTTAAACCACGGTATTTTCTATTGATATTTAATAATTGATAAAATTATTTTTGAATAAAATGATAAAGAAAGAGTATGATAATACTAAATATGTCAAAATATTTATATAAAAAGCACGTTATCTTTTTATGTATTAAAAAACTCAGTAATAAAGTGTTTTTCTTGCATTAGTGATGGCCGTCTCGCCTTTTGCGACGGCATCGTAAATTATTCTACAATTTCTCCCTCGTTAACTTCGTGTTTTTAGTCCGTTCGAAGAAGGTTGTTTACCCGACCAGTAGCATCTAATTTTCTAAGGACCAAGATCGCTCTCCGAAGGAGTCAATAGGATCGTTCTTAAACCTTTTTCACAGACTTCCTGCCTTTCGGTTTGAGCGCAGGATCGACTTTTTGAGCGACACCCACGACGACGTCCTACGGTTTTTCGCACTTCACTAGTGGTTATTACTCCGCACGATATCCAAGAGAGCGGGATGCCATTCGTTCGACCTCCATTCACAAGCCGCCGATGAATGAAGTGGAAAGAGGCACTTGGCCTTTGCATCTCCGAAACCTCCTCTATTGCAGAGTCAAATCTCACCCCCGAGCTCACCTCTAGTATCCTCTTCTCCCGAACGCTTTTCTTCTCTTGTCCTTTCTCTTTCGTCGAGCTTTTATTGTTGTGTGCTGTTAGAAGCTCAATAAGGGAGCAAAAAATTTAAATTTTACGTGGGTCGGTTTTCGTGTCTATAAGCCGCGTTTCTTCTAAGTTACAGGTACTCCAGAGGTACAATGGCGATGTCTCGAGGACTTATGAATGAAACTCCTTACTACGGGTCCAGGCTACGGGCCGAGAAGAAGAGAGTCCTACCATCTGGTCAGTTCGATTCACTAAGAGAATAATAACGGCCTCTCTCTCGAAGATCATTGAGTCCGGCGGCGATTCCAACGGGACCGAGAAATTTTCATGCCTAATTTACGGTGCTTCAAAAAAGACGGAGAATCCGTGCACAAGAATGCCCTGGACGCAGCGCGGACACGTGTTTCACGGAATCAATGAAAGGTCGCGTTCACTCTGCCGGAAATCCGACTGTCGTCCTCTCGCCAGGACTTCGCGACGGAGGGCGCGGTCGGTTATCGATTTCGTATTAGCGCACGTAGATCACGAGCGAAGAAAATTCTCGTAAATTTACGTCGGACTGGAGCAGCGTGTTTTTTGACGTGTTTTCTTTTTTTTTTCTCGCGTTTATAGTCGCGACGTTATATACGCTGCTTCGTGCTACCGCCCACGCCTTTTACGGTCTGCGCGTAAAAGCTGCTACCTTCTTTTATCCTTTATTAATAACCTATTAGAATGATGGTAGTGTAAATCGTGATGCTGAAGAAAATGCGAAGTTTCATGTGCCATAAATTTTTAGCCAGTTAACCGCTTGGATAAAAAACATTTTTTATTTAAATAAGAAATTTTTCACGTGCAATAAATATGTCGAAATGATATCGCGAGCATGTTAAAAAGACGCCCTAATTTTTAAGATGTTCTTTAGATAGCTTTTTATTTCTCAATTTACGTCACGTTATATATTCTATATTAGGCGTGCATAGGTATATATCCATTTATTCCTCCACGTCTAATATAATTAATGACTTATAAAAATTTACTTACGCGATTCACTATACATTTACGAATATCGATTTCATATTAGAGAGCCATGTCCTCGATATTTCCTTTGTGACTTCAACCCTTTCAAGGCCGGTGATCGTAGAAAGATACGTGGGTGTCAGGTGCCATCGTATGAAAGATCGATCTCCTCATTTAATTCGTCGTTAGTGGCAGGTGGATGCGATTTATAACAATACCGCAGACAGGTTCTTCGACGCCATAACGAAGACAAGTAAACACCAGATATATATGTCGACAGTCGTCAAGAGATCAATTCCTTGTGGAGTTTCTAGTTTAGTTTTAGGAAAGTACAGCTCTTCCTGCGATGCGCAATATCTACATTTGATGTTTGTGTAAAAGTTGATATATTGAAACCAGATAAAAGTAATTTTTAACGATCATTCTTGCAATTCGAAATATTGCACATTATCGCAATTTAATGAATGCAAAGCCCTCTCTGCGATATTTGATCTTTTAATTTCTCGCCTATCCCATCCCAATAAAGAAAAATTAAGATTGCTTTTCTGCAAAAAACGAGATTGCGTTTTATATTCCTGTGGTAACACAATTTTACTTCAATTACCTTTTTTTCCAATCGCCCTCGATTTTTCGCTGTATAAAGAGTAAAGATCCATAACAACCTTCTGCTTGAAAAAAGTATTACTTGGGCCTTTTGTTCTTTTAATATGCTATACGTCACTCGAGATTCGCCCATATCAGTAAGACAGGAAACATGGTAACCCCGAGATGCAGAAGCGATTTTATCGAGAATATATCGTTCTTTTTCTGTCGCGGGAAAAATTTCACGCGAGAGTATACCCGTGGGGATTACGCAAATCGATTTACTCGGCGGTAGTCGTGGCAAAAAAAACACGGAATTCTTTTTGTCGTGTGGCAAGAATTTCTTTCAAACGCACGAGCGTCGGGCGGACGCGAATCGAAAATATATATCGGAGGGTCGCCGCAGTGTCAGAATAGAGAAGCTTTATCAATTTCCGCCCTTTGTCACCGGACGACTCGTCTCGTGAAACCACGATCGGCTGAGCTGCCGTTAAAACTGACCCCCCCCCCCCCGGTCTTCCTTTACCGATGGAAATTGCATCATGTGCGGAAGCGTAAAACCAATCCAAAAGACGCGCCGACGCGCCGTGTCGCATCGCGACGCCCTTTTATCGCAGGTCGCCCATCGTGCTTAATTGTTGGCTTTATATATAAAATGCGTCGCACGCTACATGTATTTCATCCTGATTAATCGCCGAAAGCACAAGCGGAAATTAACGTGGGTATAAAGCGCGCTTCATGAAACAATTTTTTTAGATTTTTTATCTTTATTAAATCCACGGATAATATTATTTTTGCGTAAATTTTAAAGGTGTCACTTGGTATGCTAAACAAAAATTTGTTACAAAATAGAGCGTGTTACGAAATAAATTTAAACGTGAAAAAAATTAAAACGTGCAAGCATTTTGTTAAATAGTGGATGCTTCTTTACTTGTTAAACAGTTTTATAATTAAACAACAAATCAAATTCCTATTTAAATGACCTCAGCTTTATTTGCCCCTAAAAATAATGTGTAAACATTTTTACTTGAAAATTGTTCCACTGAAAACAAGATAAGTTTCTTCGTACAAATAAAGCCAAGTGTGAATTACGATAGTATGGTTCTAAAATAAAACACGATTCTGTATTTCTTGTTAACCTAGGATTTTTGTTAGATATATAGCCGACATTTAGCTCGTAGACGAGAGATAACAATATGTCACGCTGTAGCGCCGGCATGTATCCGCGAAAAGAAATGATCCGCTTTAAAAATACCTTCAACCGTTTTCTTTGTCGAGTTGGCTACTCGTTCGCAAACCGCGCCCTAGTTTGTACCTTTTTTGTTACAAACTCCAAATAACGTTTACAGAAATTGCACCGAGCAAAGCACACGAGACGAAACTTACAATAGAAGAATCACAACTTTCCTTTCGACAATAGGTTTATATATCGTCACAAATTTTTGAAGTACATATATGAATTCTACACAAATATCACTTTTAAAGTGGCCGCAGTTAATTTATTGTTGAAATAAAGAAAAAAAATTACTTTCTTTCTTGAGACTATTTTTGCATTAGTAGAATAAATGTTATATAATTTGAATTATTTAAGATCAAAGTAGTTTTTTATATATTTTTCTAGAAAAATAAAATAAAGTTAAATTTTCGGCTAATAAAATAGAGTTAAATAGATCGGTATATTTACAGAAATTGAGAAATTTTAATATGATAAATTAATTAACAAGCATTATATATTGACAGACAGAAATTGAAAAACATTTTGTTTAAAAAGTCTATCTAAAGCTTAAGATTTCGATAAAATTTGACGATTCATAGTGCGTGATAAATTATTCATGAGACTTTATTTCCGGCGAATCTGAAGATAAGAGAAAGTAAATCACACATGAGCATAAAATTTAAAAAAGATATATGAATTTAAAGTCTATGCCGAAAGTGAAGTTATTTTGCAGTTAAATTGCGTGTAGGTTAAGCTGCTTTTACGATTTACGGCGTTTGTATAGAATTGAAAGTAAATTATATTTCACGATTTAAACTTGCACACCTCTCTCTCTCTCTCTCTCTCTCT